TTCTGTTGATAGTTTCTTTTTGACTTGTTATTGCATCTTTTTTTCTGCACTTGTGCCGTTATCCTATTTTCTTTTTAACGACACACTGCACACTCGGCCAAGTTTTAGGCTAATAGCTTTTTGAAATTTTGCAAAAATACAGTACTATGCCTATCAGACTTGTTATCACTGGCACTTTTTGTAGATTCAGCTAAAGAAAGTACACCTAATTATGTTTTATGTGACAGACTGCTAGCAACAAGGTGCCTAAAGAAACATCCCTTGAGTTTTTATGCTTCAGGGATCCATGGGTCAGTGTGAAGTGGCTTAATAAAGACCAAAAGATATTTATCTGAAAATGGTCTGTTTCAAGGACTGGACTAAAATGAGTAAAAAGCAGCCAATATCCAAGTAAGAACTTTTTTTTTTTTTTTTTTTTTTTTTATTACTTTATTCTGAACAAAACGAGACAGCAACTTAGAAGAGACAGATCCAGGACAAGGACATAGATGACTTAAAAACACGGACGATACAATAATTGAAACACGGGGGATATAGGAGCGAGTGTAGAATTTATAATGTGCAAGGAACCTCAATGTGAGAAGTGTCTTTAACCAGAATCTGTCAGTGATCAGGTGAAAGATGGTGGGATGTGGCAGCCCAGCAAGTAAGACAGCTGTGCAGTAATCTGGGTCCAAAAGGGCTTCATGTAGGTGCAGAGCCTGATTGCATCTCGGGGTGTTCTGAGAGCACTGTATGCAAGTATCGGTGTCGCTAAATCCAATTTTGCAAAGGTGATGCCAAGAGTGAGATGAGTAATTCTTTTTTTTTTCTTTCCAAATAGTTGAATTGAACAAGCTATAATTGAATACAAAGTCTGGGTTATTGAAGATTAGTGACTTAGATTAGTGGATGGTCTAACTACAGAGTGTGTGATCTGATATGCATCCCACCAGAGTTGACGCTATTGTTATACTTTGGAAGCATTTATGTTTTTTAAGAGGCTGGGTGATAAGCGGTAGGTCTGACAAATGTATATCTTTACCAAGTACTTGTTTGGTATCTAACCAGATGGTTTCATGTTGGGAGTGCAAGTATAACTTTGAAAGACCTTCAGAAAGCTTTGAGAACTACTGCTCAAGAACACTTTAAAAACACGAAAGTGTCATTTGAAGCAAGATATCCAGAAAGGAGGGGGTGGCTCAAGACTTTTGCACAGAACAGTACATATGTTGACCTAATTGCATCTTTGGCCAAAACTAATGAGCATCCACCACTGTAACAGGATAGACAGATGAAAGATGATAAGTAACAGCAAAATATGTCCACTGGAAGTATAAATAAGATCTATTAATCATTAATTCTATGGTTTTGCAGGTTCAGACACACAGTCCACCATCGGTTAAACCTAGAGTCGGTTTATAAGCACATTCTCCCAGGTTCTGGAAATCCAGAAGTGACAACCCTGCATTCGGAGGTCGGACACACAGTCGACTACATCTTCTATTCTCCAAAACATGTTCTTACTGGTCGACAAGGTATGAGGATGTCTGACACGAAGAATATTTAAGATGTTCAAGCTCTAAATTAATTATTTGTGACATTAAATATATTGTGTTGTTTATTGTTTCTTTTCCTTAGCTTGTGCTAGCTTTCTGAACGATGGCCTGAAACTCATCGGGTCTCTTTCTCTTCTGTCTGAGGATGTCTTGTGGTCAATGAATGGCCTTCCCAATCACATATTCCCCTCAGACCATCTCAGTCTTCTCGCTAAATTTCAGCTGGACCTCAGTAATGCTTGACGGGAAGAACTGTGATTGAATGTTGGAACATATTTTCTTTCCAACTGTTCATTTATACAGGTTTTTGTTATAAATACATTTTTTCTGCTTCACTACTGGCAACAAAATCATAGTTTTGCAACTGAATAGACCTTAATTTCTTTTCCCAAATAGCAATGTAAATAATGGCCACCATTTTTCAGTCTACTTTTTTTGTGCTTTTCATTAGATAAATACTGAAATGTCACAATTCTTTAATGATGCTTTAACAGTTTCTTTTAAAAATGCAGCCATTGATTGCTTTGTTGCTGGTGTGGAAACTACATGGACCTGTTCATGTTCATGTTGCTGTTGGTGAATGTTGTTTTGTTTGGGGTGGGATTTTTTTCTTCTTTTAAATTTAGTCTTGAAACTATGAATATTTTTTAGATTGTTAATAATGCTGAATAAATATATTCCCTAAATGTGTGCATCTCCCTGTGTTTACTGTCTGGTGATGTCTGGATGACATGAATTAATATTTGTGTGATGTTGATTTGTTAATGCATGATGAATCTTAGTGTGAAAGGGTAAAATGTAGGCTGTAGAGTGTGTCATCACCCCTGTCAGTATGCTGTTTAGATATATAGGGTTATGATGAAGGAAAACCATGAACCCCTTACCTCTGCTGGTATGATTTTGTTTACTTTGTGTGAATTGCAGTTAAAGTTCAGTTCATCATATACTAGTGCAGCCCCTCGATTAACCCACTGTTTGAGACGAGTCATTTTAAGATAACATACTTTATTTCTCCCTAAGTTAGGACATTCCCTTGCCCTGCTAGCTGCTTGTCCTGTGTGAGCACACCATGATTATTATTTCTACTAGGAGTAAAACTATAAATAGATTATTCAGTTTGGGCATGGTCTTACTTTTTCAGCATTTTTTCCAATTTGAAGGTATTCTGAAATCTAAAAGTCCAGTATGTTGAACTCTGCCATCGCAGTATGACAGTGCTTTAGTTTGCTGAGGCTTGTGTTTCCCCTGTTATAGAAGTGTTTGCTTTGTATAGTAGTCCTGACAGAGATGGTGTTTAGAGAGCTCAGTGCGCTCTTGTTATGTGCCTCTGTTCTGGAAGGATCTGCAGTGCTCATTATGAACTGCTGATAGATAGAAAACCAAAAAATTCCCTGCCTGGCACAAAGACACCAAATTACAGTGTGTCTCCTTGTTAAGTATAGAGTTTATGATCTTGTTAAGGATTAGCAGACATTTTAACCTTTTTTTAAGCAAGGTGTTGCGTAATCTCCAGGCATTCAAAGTTTTTTCTTTGGTCATTTGCTGCTTTTCACAAATTTTCAGTCCAGTCCTTGTACCTGACCCGTTTCCTAAACCACATAACACTGACCTATGACTTATTCAAAGCATAAAAAAGGCACGTAATTCAAGCAACGAACCTGTCTTGTGTTTACACATTATAGAAAGCTGAGCAAAGAACCAATTTTAAATTCTATATTCAGAAACTTTGTTACTAGAAGCCTGTCACAAAAGCAAATTTGTTTCCAGTTCTTCGGTTAAATCAAGGAAAACAACAAAAACTTGGGATATCTCAGTATAGCATACAGTGTGTTCTTAAACAGTCTGAGGAACTTGGACAAGTAGAAGACCAAAGACGTGTCAGGCCTAAAACCGTATCTACAGCAGATAAGCACCATCGGAAATTCCTTTAAAAAATTGGACAAATTCAACAAAGACTTAACCAGGGTCCAAGAGACCCATCTAGTGTCATAAAACTGTCCACAACTTGCAGTTATCACTAAAAAATAGATATACAAACACACTAAACCACTGCCTTAACTTTCTTGTTGGAGGTAATAAAAAACCCATAAAGATGTGTTGCCATAATCAACGTGACTCTTTATTGTGATTCTGCAAATCAACAGTTTTTGATACAAAACAACCGTGTTATAAGACATGAGAATGGACAACACCTACCGTAGAGATAAAAACGTTGGCTGCAGCAACATTTGAAACAGGGTGATAAACAATTAAGTATTTACGGGTGATCGTCAACAACGAGGGTATAAAATGACGGCATTTCCAATAAAAAAATACAAAATGCAGGTAAAAGTGCTGTAAACAAACTGCTATACACTTTTGTTTAAATGGAAGTCAGTTACTTAGGTTACCACTTAAGGCAAGTGAAGCATTTGATAAAGTTGCTACAAATAAAAGTACAGTTCACACAAACTCGCCTCGTTGTTACTTTACAATAAATGCAGCTGCATTACTCATCGGCTTTAACTCATGTGAAAGATGTTATATTTATCAGTTAGAATAACTGATGACACGTGTGTTTATGTTATAGTGATTCAGACGGGCAGAGCTGCTTTGTGTTTAGTCGGGCAATAAGAATAATGGGTTAGATGTTTTTAAAAAAGTGTTTATCCTCCTCTTTGAATTATCACACAAGGCACGAGGGAAGTGGTTTGCAAACTAGTCACTACACAAGTAATGGTTGCCCAGCAGAGTCTAAGTGGATATATACTACATGACATTTATTTGCACACTTACAGTACAACTAGACAGATTGCAGACGAGCCTCGAGAGCTTCTGTAGACAGCACAGGGACCTGTGATATGTCCAGCAGCTGAGCCGGTACTTTTTGTCCAGCTTTAGCTTCTTCGCTTTGTTTTACCAAAACTTTTTCAGTCATTTATAATGTTTACATATTACTGCACTTGTGCCCCAGCTCTGTTTTATGTTGGGAGCACTGCCAGCACCAATTTCTATGCACAGTAACTGCTACAGAAAAATACTGTAACAACACAGGGAAGCTGAATGAGGCGTTTGTTTGCGAGGAGTTGCTGGTAATCTATTCAACACTGAATCCTGTGAACGGGCCAGTGTGTACAAAAAAATAAACCTTAGGTTAAATCACTGGCCCCTGGAAAATATCAGATTCACGTCATATGACATGTAACACATTAACCACCACTTCCATGATCTAAATCTAAATCTGTGGGCACAAATTCAATGAGCAGCATTGGAATCTGTGAGCAAGAAACAAAACAAAAGGGTAGGAAGGCATAGAGGGGTACCTGTGTGTACAAAGCTCAGATCAGCCCCAAGCATGAGGGAAATTTATACACAAGTCAACTCTGCTTAAAAAAAATAAATTCTGCTTCTGCTTCTCTCACGACCTGATTCGAGGATTAGAAATCTCTCGGCCCTACTGTGATTGGTCACCATAAACACAGTCATACCCACATGGAGATTCTTGTACTGTCACTGACAGCTAATATTACAGGAAGTCCAGAGGCGGCGGAGTTAATGGAGACTCCAAATTAAGGGTCCACATAAAAAATTCAAGTAAAAACATTTTTGTCAAGTAACATATAAACATTGTAAAACTGGCAGGGAAAAAGTGCATTGTAAGATTTTCTTTAGCCTATCCAAATGAATAGCATTCCTTAACTGTTTTTAAGCCTGAATAGGTAAGGCTACACAGTGGGTATAACTGTTTTGCAGCAAAACACTCAACTCACACGCTCTGCCCTTTGTTCCTGATTGGATCATTAAATTGAAATTTAATAGAAGTGAAAACATCAGAGCAGGCGTTTTTCTTTTTACACTGAGCTGTGGTTGCACCTATAGAGCATCCATATTTCACTGCTGTAATCAGATTTTTAAAAATTGATATTGCATTTTTTATGTTGTTGTACCATTATGCAGCATACTGACTGTTTTTATGCTGCATTTTAGCGCTTTTTCTTTTAACCAAAACACATTTGAAAGATGATGTCACTTCACAGCTTTAGCTGTGCCATAGCATTAACCTGTATGAGCACGTGTGTCCTCCAGCACCAAGCAGAAACGCTCTCAGACACATGTCCCATTCTTTGCCTCTCCCTGTGTTTTTTGTTTCCAGCTTGCAGCTGCTTCCCGGTCATTGAATTTGTGCATGAGGACTTGTGAGTGGGTGGCAGTTAATATGTGCACGTGTGGAAATAATCAAATTTTCTAATGAACGTGTTCTGTTACGCTCGTATTCTATGGCAAAATCTAACACCCTGTGTGGCGCTTTGAAATCTGCTAATTATCTAAAAAAATAAAATAAAATCTTCCTCAGACTCGAATCTGGTATCCGTTCATATCTGTGGAGGATTTTTGTTCCAAAACCTTCTTGTCTCCAGAGGGGCTGCAAATAAATAAATAAATAAATGTTAGAAACAACAACGAGGTTTATTCATATAAGAAGCAAACTGTGACTAATTTAGAAGCTCCTTCTTTTTGCCTTCGATCATAAGACATCTCCAGCGCAAATACTGAGAACTATGCAGAGCATGTGATTAATCATACCGCCTCTCAACACGGCTGATCCTCCGTATGGGGCTGCCTGGTCCTCTGAGGGGTGAACCCATGCTGTTCCTCCTATCTTTGGTGGGAGATGGAGGTGCAGGCTTTCCTATCTGCAAAACCACAAAAGAACATAAGAGCTTCATTCACTTGAAAACATCATGAGTGAGCTACCAGTGCTTTCACCATTACTCTGAGTGTCAGTGGCTGAAGTATGTCTCTGTCTTTAATGTGATTGTGTAATGCACTGAGTGCACAAGATCAGCTACTGATGGACAGAGCCACCCTTGAGTAAAGCACTGCAGAGCAGCGTCAAGTCAGTTTTATTATACACCGAGCTCAGCATCCAGGCTGCCTTCATTATATGAGCATCAGAGGTGATGAGAGAACAGCATTTGAGAGAGATTGCTCTTCAAACAGCAGTTCAAATCAGTGTCACCACGCATGAAGAGAGAGCACGTCAAAGGGAATTTGATAAGCAGAAAGGCCAGTCCACCTGCGCCACTCTACCTTTAGCCTCATGTCTCGAGTATGTCTCTCCAGCTCCTTCCGTAGCTCCTCCTTGGTGAGCTTGTCCACATCAAGTATCGAATGTTTCCACTCTATCTGCTCCACGCTGTGAGGATCGTGGGAAACGTACTGGCCAATCTTGACTTTTCGTAAGGTGTGCCAGTAGCCCCTGTATGCTCCTTCAAACTCCTGGACCAAGTCCAGTAGTGTTCGAAATTCCAGGGGCTTAAACATGAGTTCCTCTCTTCGGCTCATGCCCAGCGCTCCGAAGCGCCCCCCGCTGTGGACTCCCAGCACAATGTGGTGGAAGTGGTTCCCTGAGAACTGAGATTTAAAGCTGAGGGGGAAGCGCTCCACGGCAGGCATGTTGTTGGTGAGGTAACTGCATCAAGCTGAGTCAAGGAAACGTACAACTGACCTTCAAATCCTAAGTCTAAAAAACGTCTGTACAAATTGATCTAAAACCGGGCATATAATGGTGAAGCCTGCTGCTTCTTATTATGTAGAAAATCCATCTGTTTTGTTCCGCTATACTAGATAATATCTGAAGCCAAAATTTGATGAGAAAACATACGGTAGATCTGCCAAAAAACAAATTTATGAATCCATTTGTCAACCCATTCTGTCAGGCTCCACTGGAGTGAAGCAGAAAACAAAACAGTAACACTTTATAATACGGCCGTGACTAAAGGTGCAATCCCATAGCAATTAAATGGAATTTCATTGAATTTTATGCATATGTATTGATGTATCCATTAATGTTTTAAAATTACTGTTTGTTTTTTCACTAAACTACCAGGAAATTATGCAGTACTTAAATTTACATACAGTATAATTATTTCTTGTTTACCTACCCTTAAGTATTTGTGTAGAAATATAATTACATTGTAATTTTAAATAAAATTAATTGAAATTTAATTTAATTACAGGGTAATTACGCCCTTAGTCTCAGGCTGTATTGTAAAGTGCTGCCAACAAAACAATAAATTAAGACCTGCACCACGTCCTCTGTGGTCATAAAGATACATTCCCAAGATCACTGCCTCCAGACATTTGATTGGCAGAGCCTCCCGCGTCATCTCCTTAGCAATGTCCATTAACCTGCGCAAAACAAACGAAAAACAAGAGTACCATTTAATGTCATTCTGAGTTAGGGGACAGCAGCCTACTGCACTACCAGTTACAGGAACACATTGTTATTGATTTCATGAAAACAAAAGCATTGTCATTGAGCCAGGGAAATAATATTGGCGCTACTAAATCTAATAAAGTGAGGTCAGGGAAAGTGTTTTCCAGCCCTGTGCTGATTGACACACACTCCTACACACAAAGCCCTGAAGTAAACCAGAGAGATCCATAAGCATGCACTCACAGCAACACTGGGTAAATATTAAGAAATCAAAGACCCTCATCCCAGACATCCTGTGATTGCTGCTGTAAATATCTGTGACTGAAGAACTCCTTACGCAGTAAGAGGGCGGCTTTTCTTTATTTCAAAAAACTGCGTTCCTGTGTGATTGTACCTGTAAAGCACAGTTAAGGTCATACTGCGAGAAGGCAACATGACAAATGTTTTAAGAGAAAGGAAAAGGCAGCTCCTTAAAGTGCTCTGTGGGAGTCATAGGCTGTTGGTTAATAATGGATGAAATCCTTCTCTGGCTGGAAATCAAGCTTTCACCTAATATAGCATCTGTGGTGGCCTACATTATATTTCAGCTGTCTGGCCCATATTTTAAACTGTGAAAAAAACAGTGGGTCAGTGGGATTCTGCACTTTAACATCCACATTTCCTATGATTGGTGTGTAAAATCTATAAACAATCTATATAGTCTCAAAATCATTTTAAATGCACCCTGTTATCACTGATTTAGTTCTAACCGGCTTGCTCAAAGGATACTGCAATTCCCTGATGTACTTCTGTATGGCTTCCAGGCGCTGTGGGATAGTGGTGGTAGGCTGGTATGTAGGCACACTTGGTATTGGAATCTGTGGGACAGAGCATCCGAACATCTGCATTACCATAACACAATCCCAATATTCATTGCAGCTGGTGAATGTACCATTGTTTGACCTCTGTGCTCTTCTGTTTTGTATAACTAATAGCAAAAGTAGCAAAATAGAAATTTCCTGTGCAGGGAAGTTTGCACAAAACACGCATTATATATTCAGTGCTGTGCGAGCAGCTGCATTTCCTTCCTCCTTCCTTCGGGCTTTACCTTGGGCAGGTCAGTGGCACCTCTTATCTCCTTCGCCAATGCTTCACCGCTGGGATGGATTCGAGCCACATGGCGCCACATCCTCTCCCAAGTCTCCTCATCCACCGGGAAGCCACTTCTGTTCACATAGAAAGGCACCCCTCCATCCCTCAACTCTTCGTCGCCTTCATCCTCCTGCTCCTCGTCTCTCTCCTCCAATGAGCCAACTGTGGCCAAGAGCATCCCCTCCTTTATCAGGAAGCCCAGCAGAGTTCTGGCACAGAAACGTCCTGACTGATGCCTTTAAATCCTTACACCTTGATTAATCTGCTTGCAGGTTTAAGTAGGTGTCCACGACAGATGGCCAACTCATGACACCGAGTGGATTATGGCATCAGTATTTCATAAAAGAAAGGCTGATCTGCTATAATTAATATTCGCCTGTGTCACAGCACGTAAATATGAGGCAGTGGTTTAATAACGTGTATTAAAATCGTACTGCAATAAGTATTAGACACTTTGAAATAAACAATAGTAGACTAAAGGCATTCAATGACCAGAAATTGAAATAAATAAATCGAGACAATAAGGCTACTTAAGGTATAAAATGCTTGGCCTTACTGTTAATGTTCATCAACAACCAAACACAGGCCAGCCAACATTAACACTCTCGATGCGAGGATTGACTTTGCAGACAGCAAAGTATAAATTCCTAATTCCCCCTTTCGTTAGAGGTCATTCACGCCACAGACATCCAGCAAATCGCCGCTCTCCTGCATTTCCATCTCCCCGGCGCTGCTCACACGTCCGCTTTGTCCGTTTCACCAAACGATTTCCGTCCAAGTCCGCCGGTTCATTGTTCACACAGATGCTCTTCTTGGCTTCAGCGTCTGCGGTTATTCACATCCAACGAGCTACTCAGACACTCCCCAAATCTCTTCTCCTGCGCATGCTCCCTACTTAGCGGATGATCTCAGCAGGGGTACGATGATGCATTTAGGTGCTCCTCGTAAGCTGTCAACCTGAGGTCTGCTTTAGCTTATATTTCAATTTTCCAATTTAACAGTATACTACAAGTAGAAAATAAGGAAATGTACTTCTTGATTATAAAATGTCACATTACTGTTAAATGTTAAATTAGCTCTGAGTAAACATCACTTTACACATTTAACATGGAAAAATGAAAGACAGAAGATATTTCAATAACACATTTATTCAATGAAAAAAAAATTGGAACAAAATGTTTCAAGAACAAATCACTCAATTAAATTATTTTGCAGTTTGAAATGTGATCAAATACACCCCATCCTCACTAAATGAAACTTCCATCCATTCAAGGCTTATCTAATCCAGCTGACACTGGGTGAGAGGAAGGATACACGCCAGACAGGTCACCAGCTTATCACAGGGGGTGATCATCACAATCATTCACACTCAAACTCACCCATACTGTCAAACCACATTCCCCAGTTAATGTGTTTGTTATATTAACCTAACATGTACGTGTCTCTGGACTGTACGAGGAAGCAGGAGTATCCAGAGAAAACAAAATAAGCCTCAATCCTCAATATTTTTTAATACAAATGAAAGGAATAATCAACAAGAAACTTCAGTCTATTTACACTTCTTGGTCAGCTGTAGATACATTAAAATCTTGGAGCACCGTAGTCATCAGGCATCCGCTCAATGTTATACCTGTTTTTAGAATCAGAACAAATTGATTTCAAAGTTAGCAATAACATTATTTTAATTTTATATTTGAAAAACACTTGCAAAATAAAATAGCTACAATCAAAGCTGCCATATATTTTAATTAAAACGCAGAACCCTGCTACCTGTGGTTTGAGATGTACATGATGGGAACTCCAGGGATCTTCCTGACCCTCCTCTTCAGATCTCGGTCAACAGTGGCCAGGATGTAACACTTGTGCTGCAGAAATATTTTTACATAATTTACATCTCCCCTTAGCAACATAGCCAGCGTTAGAAGATGGACATTTATACACATCACAGTTACTATTTGGCAATTTGCCTTTTATCAGAGAACTGTTCCAGAAAGCAGGATTAGTGTAAACTTTTAACTCTATCACACTCCTCTTCTTACTGACTGGTTTTCTTTAATAAACCTGAACTGCTTATTTGATTCCTTCTACAAATACACACATGCATATATATTTTATCCTGTTTATTTACCAAAATTTTTAGTTTTTATGTTTTGTACCTCAGAAAATGTTTAATAAGATTGCCTTCTTTGCATATAATTTAGTTGCACTTTTACTTTTGTATAATGACAAAGATTCTGAATATATGTGCTTTGATATCAAGGTATCCATAAAGGAAAATTCAAATCAAGAGTAAATAATAGAAGAGTGGAACACACAAAATAAAATGCAATTCATGGACTTTTTTCCCCTTCCTGTTTTCTAATTCATTTGATCATCCTGTTTTTTGTTGTTGTTTGTTTAAATACCACATATCACTAATATAATATACTCGGAACATATCACAACCTGAACTCAGAGTGATAACACAGAATTAACTGATCTAACTACAATCAGCTGTTCTGGAAACTGAGACTCTGAGGTGATTTTTGCACATGAGACCTGGACGATCTTGAGAAAAATCTGGTTTTAACTTTGTCTGAAAGTGTCCTTTCTCACATGTAGCACACAGCAAAACACTAATCGCTTCAGCTGGGTTCTCACTATTGGAACTACTCTGTTTAATTTCAGCCTGAGTACAGGGTAACCACTCGCCTCATCAAATCTGCAATCGGTGTCTGCAAAGTCAGACTTAAGAGATGCAGCATCATACCTATGTTTTATCATCTGTTTCTTACTATCAGCAGATCAGACAGATAGACATTAGATATCTGACATTGCCATTTCCGGAAAGCTGACAATGAGCTGGCTAAACAACAGCAGCTGATTATAAGCTAACATTATTCCAGCTACTGTTAGGCTAAAGTGTCCTAAAAATCAATTTTCCATCTGTTGAACAGTTTTATTACATTGTCACATTTTATGAAAGTTAATTCAGTAAGTTTCTAAGTCCAACAATGTTTGTTCCACTTCAAAGAAAGTCTTACTAACACCACTAACAGCGGCAAAAACGGCAGCACTTAAAACCATCAGTGTCACTGTCATCAGACAGAAGTGAGCTCATATACTCATATCAGATTCCTTTCACGATATTTTATAGCGTTCTCCACAGTAAATGCACAAGGACACCAGCTGAGGTAAACAGCAGACTGCAGCAGACATTTTCTCTACATCCTTTACCTAATTTCTTTGTTTAGGGAATAGCTGCAAAGACTCCACTCTAGAGAGTTTTGGAGTTGGTTACGTAGTTCCTTTATTTTCTGTGGTCAATTTTTAAGGCTACCTAATTGTGTTATCTTACTGTTCAGCTCTTGTGTGTGCTGACAAGCAAACAGCTGGTGCAAAAAAAATTAACACTGACATTTAATTGCATATATTACCTGTGTTACTCGTTGGACTAAACAGTCATCGGCATAAGTTCCCTTGTGTGTGCAAGGCAGACGCTCAAATCTTGGATCTTTTGCTATCCTACAAAAAATAAACGAGGTGAAGACTGTTTCAATAACAAACATAACTTTAAATGCATTCAAGTTTGAAACACTTATTTACATCAAGCAGCCTTTACCTGAGTGCGACTCTGTATTTCATTCCAAGCTTTTCAATCTCCGCCATTACACAGTCTGTAATATATGGTATACCTGGATGGGATGGAATTTATTTAAAAAATTCATATAAACTTTCTGTTTTATTGGATGCTGATATAAAACAAGTGACATACAGCAACTTTATTATTTTCATAAAAAATTCCCACTGAACACTAATACTTACATTTGGCATAAAGGCAGTCCATCATAGACTGAACAATGTCCAGTTTGGCCTTGATGGAGAAGTTTATAAAGTTTGTGTCAACCAGAATGTGGTATGGTGGGCCAAGCTGAGTGTTGTATTGAAAAAAGAGGCACGATGGGTACTTAGTCCTGCACAAAAATCAAAGAAATGAAACCAAATTCATGATCAAACACTTTTTAACGATCCAATGCGTATTTCTGTTTCGTGGCTAACTTACACTTCTCTCTCCTTCAGCTGCGAAGGGTCTTTCTTCTTTTTCTCTTTTGCTTTGGCTCGGTCTGTCTCTTTTCTACAAAACAAACGATGAGTTGTGGCAGCTTTTTACGTGGGAAGTGGGTGAAGCAATGAATCACATGGCTCTAAATAAAGCAGAGACGCAGAAAGCACTGGCGAAACTTACATTCTTTGGTCCTTGAGACTGATCATTCTTTTCATCGCTGCATATCTCTTCGTTTTCTGCTTCCCCTGCATTGATGAAGCCCAAAATTGATCACAACCAACACTTAACAGCAGAAACTTCAACTGTGTTAATATACAATTTCTCTAAATAGAGTGACAGAACCTACTCAAAACCTTTTGAAACGTTAACGCTCGTTAAAAAAAGATACCGTTCACTGTTTAACCTTTAAAACGTCGCGACTAAAGATCCGATGTGGAAACATTGCATTAGCATTAGCATGTTAGCTTAACGGTAAATCTGCCAAAACTTTCTAACCTTCAAGTTAAAAAAAAAGAAGTTATCTAACAACAATTGTTAAGTCGGTGATGTTACTCTGATACAGTGAGAAACTACGTACCATTTCAAATTTCAGTGACTGAACCCACAGACCGGCTACAAGTACGACTTGCTACCCTCGTGTTAGCAATGCGCAGACGTAATCAAAAATCGACGCCCGTTCTGCGCATTTTCCGGTGGCTATGCTAGCGCCTCGCAGACGAAGGTAACTGCAGTGTTTAATAATAGTTTGGCTATATTACAATATTGCATTTGTTCAGTTTTGTTTTGTGTAGTCGTGGTTTTGCAAAAGGCACCTGTGACGATATGTACCTTAATAACCATTTTGGGGCAGGCGACGAGATTTCTGAAAGGACGCTGACATTCAGGGCTAACTCTGCTAGCTGTTAGCGTTGTGTTGTCTGGTCGGAGTGCTACTGTAGCAGTTGTGAAGGGTAGCCTTCCCACTGTGTCAACAGACCAGAGAGAATTGATGATGTTGCAGTTAACCTTCCGAGGCTTTTGACCTTCCCAATAAATTCTAGTTAAGCTTTCTGTTTGAATATGTTATTTCTTTAGCTAGCAGATAGTGTGAAAACGTGCTGGCAGCTGAGCTAGCGAGACCAGAATGGTTATCAATATCTGTCATAATCAGTAGCTGCACTGTTGGTCTCTCATTGGATTTGACTTGCATATCTTTGACCCTGTTTGTCCTTACTAAAAGGTTTGTCAGAGCCTCGTTTTTCATACATATTTCAATGCCACGGGTTTCGTATTATTCTGGACATTTAAATATTCATGTTTGTTGACAGAACAGTCTACAGCCGGGCTCCTTGGTGTTTCCATCTACTGCTTGTTTGAGCAACTTTTTCTTTAAAATCCCATCTGGCTAAACTCGTTTTTCCTCTGTTGTAGGAGATTTGAATAACTCGATGGTGTTTGGTGTTTGAGCACGGAGAAGTCTGAGTGAAGGCTGAAAGATGGTCTGATGGACCGCCGTTTCTTCCTGACCTTCCTCTTCTGCTCACTGTCGTGGATCTTTTTCTGGGAAGTGCGCTGGAAGAAAGGAAAAGAGAGTCAGATCGAGGAATGGCTCAAAGGACATAACCTCTCTCAATACAGAAACTTATTTGAAGGTCAGTGGATCACCTTTGACTTCAATCCTACCTGACCAAAACAATACAGACATTTAGCTGATTTCTTTTTCTTTTAAAGAGCAAGCTGATGTTAGTGATATGTGTGAGAAGACTTGAGTTTTTGCAGAAATAACAGAGGCAAAAGTATCACTTTCAACTGGATTTACT